GCTCAAGGTGAGAGAAGTAAAACTGTCATAGTTCACTCTACAGCGTGCATACTCTTCCCTGACAGTATAGGTGCTGGGTGAGTGAGTACTCCAAGTTTGTGGACTCTTCTGTTGGTGTGGTTTAATTTATAAATATATTTTGTTTTTTTAATAAAACTGTGAATAAATAAGAGCAGCTGTTTGGAAATCTTACTAGGTATCAGTCCAAACTTCTTAAACAATATTTGCTACATTACAAAGATCTACTTTAGAGCTGTTATGTAGACCTGGAGTTCCTTTGGAGCCACATGCCCAGATAAAGATTTCACTTATGTAACATTATTATACAACATATTGGAAGTCTCTAATGCAAATACAACAAGTATGATAAAATACAGTAAAATCTCAATAAAATACGAAGTGTCAATGAAACCTGGTCGTCTTGCTCTTCTCTTAGCTGCCTTTTTTCCTGGTTGTCTTGCTCAAACTTTATACAGCCAGGGCTTTTTCAGCATAGCTGTAGCTTAATAAAATAGTTGGGCATGGAGCTGTGGTGAGAGAATTTGCTGCTCTTTAGAGCAGTGATCCATTCCACTCCTAATCTATAAAAAATAATCTGGAAAATGGCTGGGCAGGATTGATCAGAAATATCAACCTCTTAAATTAAACAGTTCTGTAGTTGTTGGATTTTAAGTTGAACTGTTGATTTCTGGATTTTAATTTGAACTGTTGATCCAACTGCAGCTTTGTTCTAACAAATTAGAATTCAAGAAATAAGTTCTGGACTCTAATATTATCTAAGCAGCTTTCTGGGTTTCCTACTCTGGGTGCTGACAACTAGTAGGTGTCACACAAAGAAAGGGCCGATTGATGGGTCAAGCAGACTTTGGCTTTCATGTAAAGTGTTAATAATTCTTGATCATTTTGAACCTAGAATTGCTTTTATTGAGAGGTTTTTTTTTAACTTTAACTGCAATTGGAATGTAAACATTTTCTGTACCTCTAAGTGCATTGCCAGCTCTGAATACAGTATGTAAAAACTTAGTTACAAAATGTGACTTTTTTTGTAAAACTTTGCAGAAATGGACTGTGAAATATGAACAAAATAAAGTATATGCTTGAAAACCTATAAGTTGCTCTAATACTCTTTAAACTGCAAAGTCCTTGATCCCAAAGCACACTCTACAAATAGCTTTACAGTGACATGCAGCTGCTTTGGAGGAAGCATACTAACAAGAGGCTTCTAATAGAACATGTCTACAAAAAGTATTCAGGATCTTTAGCATTGGCTCGTTACCAGTCTTTTTGTGCCCAAAAAGGGGGCTAGAGGAAGAGAAGGTAAAACTTAGACTGTTTGAAACACTCAAAATATATTGTAGTGTATAGTCCTGCACTGGCATAAATAATAGCCAGATGATCTAATAAATCTTTTCCATCATAATTCTGTGAGAACTACAACCAGAATGCAGTCTGTGTAGGGTATGTGCCCATGCGGTCTCCTAATCTTGTCAGTTAGATATGCAAGAATTTAAATTGCAAATTTGGAATGTAGATTGTTCTCTCAAAAAGAGAGCAATAACTTTCAGGAGTGAGGAATTTATCTTTCCCTCCAAGGAGGGAATGTTCTTGGGGTAATTCAGGTTAGTGTTCCTGGAAAATTCCCAACCAGTTTTGACAATACTTTTTTTCAAGTCCAGGATGGCATTTCTGGTCAAAACCAGATGGATCAGCCCCAAAATAGCTAATAGCGTGGTGGTGTGGGAGGCCCAGGTGAAGGTCCCTAGTTTGAATCGAAGCAGCAGGGACTCAGACCTGGATGTCTTGCAACCCAAGTGAGTACCCTAATGAACTAGCTGTTCTGGGGTGAAGGGCTCAGGTTTTTGTTTGTTTTGTTTGTTTTGCAGAAAACAAAAGACATTCAAACCCAACATTTTTTATGAAACCGAATTCTTGTCTTATGAAACAAGCATTGAGGTGATCAGAACATCTATTTAAGTGGTGTCAAGCACAAAGGGCTAAATCAGTATTTTAACACAGAACAACTGTTCCCTCATTTTGGCACTTGGGCAGCAGAACAGAAACTGGAAATTCATTCACTGAGTCAAGAGCTCTTGCTCTTTTCTGTAGCTGCTGATGGAGAAACAGGGGTTTGCATTGCCAAGCACTTTAGTTGATACATGGGTCTTTGGGGTATTCCCAGGTGATAAAAATGCATTTTTCAAATTGAGTTAATAGAATTCAAGAATATAATATATTATTACCCCATGTTGCTCATCTGTGTATGCACCAGAGATACTACCGGGGTGACCCTGAGCAGATCAAGATTGACCACAGGACTCTGGGTGCAAGGGTGAAGGGGTGTTCTCCTTGATCCTTCCGGTTAAGGGGAAGGGCCCTGGCAGGAGCGGATGCACCCTGCAGATAAATGCATGACTGGGCAGCTGGTGTCACCTGACAAAGACAGGGAAGCGCATCTTTGCAGACAGGCTCACTAATGTAGTGAGGAGGGCTTTAAACTAGGTTTCCAGGGGGATAGAGAACAAAGCCCTGAGGTAAGTGGGGAAGCAGGAGATCTGGAAAAAGCACAAGGAGGAGAGGGTAAACAGGGGAGGCCTCATTCTTCCTGAGGAAGTAGGGCAATCAGCTAGTTACCTCAGGTGCCTGTACACAAATGCACGGAGCCTGGGAAACAAGCCAGAAGAATTGGAAGTCCTTGCACAGTCAATGAATTATAACATTATTGGAATAACAGACTTGGTGGGATAGCTCGTATGATTGGAGCACTGTAATGGATGGGTGCAAACTGTTTAGGAAGGACAGGCAGGAGAGCAGAGAAGGAGTTGCACTGTATGTAAAAGCTGTATGATTGCTTGGAGCTCCAGTATAAAACTGAGGATAGGTCTGTTGAAAGTGTCTGGGTTAAGGTTAGAGGGGAGAGCAACAAGGGTAATGTCTGTTGCTACTGGATTTAGGATCCAGATGCCTTGTTCCAGGGAGACCCAAAACTCTCAGACCATGACCTTTCCATTCGATAATAGGCAAATTTATTGATACACAGTGATAACAGAAAAGAATAATACAAGCAATTCTATAGCTACCAATCCTAGGGCTGTCATCAGTCAAAATACATCTGGCCAGGAGGTGAGGTTCTCTCTTGAATGTCAGACGTCAGCAGCCTGGAGGTCAGAGGCTGAGGCTCACCTCTTTCCCTTTCCCATCCCCAATGGGGTGGATGAGATGGGCCGGTGGTATACCCTCTGTCCATGGTGCCTTGAGTTCACCTCTCGGGGATCCTTCTGTCCATGTGGCCTTGAGTTCCCCTCTCAGGGACCCTTTGTCAGGAAACCCTTTTCAGGGATGGGGGACCCTTTGTTGTTCTAAAGTCTCTGCTTTTGTATTTTTTTCCCCTCCTGATGACTCTCCATCCATGGCTATCACTGATTGGTCTTTCTGTGGTTGTCATACTGTCCACATTCTGCCCTGTCAGCATATTACTTTGTTTCACAAGTCCATCACATGCACACTTCCTAATTTGGGCTTTCCAGGCCTTCTCCTTATTGGTCTGTTCCTCCAAAACCAGAACCTCAGACCCACCCCTCTTTGGCCTTGTGAGCTGGTGCCACCTTATGTCACGTTATGGAACCATGTGGTATATGCCCACAGTTTCTCAGTCTGTGTCTGTCCTTTGGCCTTGTTGTGTTAGACAACCTGTCTGCCTTGAAGTCAGTGAGGCCTTTAGAAATCAATTAACCCTTGCTGCTACCCTGGACTATTGTTCTAATGCATATATATTTTACCTACAAGCCAATTCCCCAAAACAAATCTCTAAATACCATTTTCTAGCCATCAGTGTCATGGTACATGTCTTCTACAGACCACCAAACCAGGATGATGAGGTAGATGAGGTTTTATTCAGAAAACTATCAGAAGTTTCCAGATCACAGGCCCTAGTTCTCATGGGGGACTTCAATCATCCTGATGTGCTGGGAGGGCAATACAGCAGTGCACAGGCAATCCAGGAAGTTTTTGGAGAGTGTTGGAGACAACTTCCTGCTGCAAGCATTGGAGATACCAACTAGGGGTTGTGCTCTTCTTGACCAGCTGCTCTCAAACAGGAAAGAATTGGTGTAGGATGTAGAAATGGATGGCAACTTGGGCAGCAGTGACCACGAGATGACTGAGTTCAGGATCCTGACAAATGAAGAAAGGAGAACAGCAAAGTATGGACCCTGGACTTCAGAAAAACAGACTTTGACTCCCTCAGGGAAATGATGAGGCCTGTCTAAGGTGGGAAGGAGTCCTGGGGAGCTAGTTGTATTTTAAAGAAACCACCTGTACCCCTAAGCCCCGCTCCCAAGGCCCTGTAGCCTCTCATGACCCAGCTGGGATTGCTCCAAGTTGTCATTCATGCCCACATGGATAAGGAGCATAGGGTAGTGGTCAGTGGGCTGGATGAGCTTTGGGATCGTCTCTGCTACATCCCGGATGCAGGCTCCTGGGAGGCAGCAGACCTCCCGGACTAAGGGGTTGGGGCAGCAGATTGCACCCTCAATCCCCCTCAGGAGGGAGTCTCCCACAATGACCACTCTACAAGTGGCCTTAGGGAGAGCAGGGAGGGTAGCTGTGGGTGAGCCTGCATTGCCTGCAGGATCTGGCTGCTCTGCAGGCTCTACTGGGGCTGTAAGAGGTTCATACCTGTTGCAAAGCTCCAGAGGGGAGGAGACCCTGGTGCAGCAGGCCTTGGGGCTGTTGACCACCTTGGTCCAAGCCCCTGGCTGGACATTGTGGGGGATCCTCAAGTCCTCCCTTGTCCTGGAAGGTGACCTTGGTCTACCCTTGGCCTCCAGGGGGTGAAGGACCTGGCAGTAGAAAACTATCTCCCACTTCCCATCCCTGATGGCACGCAGTCTCTGGACTGCAGCCTGGAGCTCCTCTGTCTGGTGCCCTAGAGACTCCAGTGGAGCAAAACTCACAAGGGGAGGTGGCTATGCTCTCAGTCCCATGTGCCTGGAATTGTGCCAGGCATCCCCCGCAGCCAAGAGCCAGAGGCTTCATCTGCATGAAGCCCAGAACCATGGGTTTCGTCTGGGTGGAGACTTCAGAAGTGCCAGAGGGGGAGGTCTCAGACTCAGGGGGAACCCTTGGGGTGCAGTGTGTGGCCATCCACATTGTGCTACTGGTAGTCCAGCTACTGCTGTGACTACCTTCTCTAGTGCTCCCTGGCAGGGCCTCAGGCCCTCCCGCTTGCCCTCCTGTGCAAATTCCCATGCTAACTCACACATCAGGCCTAAAAGTGCACTTGTGATCAATGGCTCAATGTCTAGTTGGCAGCAGGTATCAAGTGGAATGCCCCAGGGGGATACAAGTCTACAGTGTGCCCTTGTTGCCAAGAAGTCTAACAACATACTGGGCTGCATTTGTAGGAGCGTTGCCAGCAGATCAAGGGAAGAAATTATTCCCCTCTATTCTGCAGTGGTGAGGCTACATCTGGAGTACCATGTCCAGTTTTGGGACCCCCACTATGGCAAGGATGTGGACAGGTTGGATATTAGGAAAAATGTTCTCACTAGGAGGATGGTGAAGCACTGGAACAGGTTACCTAGAGATTTGGTGGAATCTCCATCCTTGGAAGTTTTTAAGGCCCAGTTTGACAAAGTCCTGGCTGGAATGATATAGTTGGGGCTGGTCCTGCTTTGAGCAGGGGTTGGACTAGATGACCTCCTAAGGTCCCTTCCAACCCTAATTTTCTATGATTCTAAGGCTAGAAGGGACCACTGTGATCATTTAGTCTGATCTTCTGCATAGCACAGCCTATAAGATTTCCCTGTATTAATTCTTGTTTGAACTACAATATAGATTCAGAAAAAGAGTCATTCTCAGTTAAAAATTTCCAGGGGTGGGAATCTGCCAAAACCTATGTAAGCAATTCCAATAATTAATTACTCTCACTTAAATTTTTCACCTTATCAAATTTGTTTTTGTCTCATTTCAGTATTCAGCTATTGGATCTCATCTCTTTTGTCTGATAAATTGATGCACTCTGTGAAACTTCTGTTCCCTACAGAGGCATTTAGAGACTGCAGTGAAGTCACCACTCAACCTTCTTTGTTAAACTAAACAAATAATTCT